GAGAGAGAGAGAGAGAGAGGGGCACAGTGGAATGACCTTTTGGGGTGACATGTTTGTGTTATGCCCCTGTCAGGTGGGTGTGCAAATTCGCTTGGCCTTTTGGAGTTGCACCAACGAAAACTTGGAAACTGCTGGAGCATTTTGGAAATAGCTGGGGTGTTTCACAAAATGTTTTTGTCATCGTCCTTCGCTGCGGCGCGTCCAGTTGTAGTTATACATTAAAAAAAATAAAACTCATGCAGCTGTGCAGGTGCCGTGGTGAAGAAGAGTACATGAACAGAGCTCAAGCAAAGGTCATTAGCTCAAGCAGAGGTCATTCCCTTTTTTTCCCCCTTCATTCCAATAGAATATAGAAGCCGCATAATGATGTTGTTGAATGCAGTAAGAAGATGGCTGTATGCATTCTCTAGCTGTCCCAACGTGCATCAACCAAACTATTCACGCTAACCTCCCAAGAACCAAGACAATCTAATCTACCAACCGAATTATTTGTCTAAATAGATCATTGTACATATAGTAATGTACATGGATTGGCCTTTCGGATAAGATCAAGTGTACTATCTGTGCTGATCAGTTTAATATGTGATCTGTGGTCCAAAGAAAAAATATATATGACACTCTGTACAGTTTTCCATCTGGTGTGGGTGAGTGATAGTTTGCTTTGATTTTCGTCACAGGTACCTTGAGGGCAGCAGTTGGTGCCCACCTCAGGGTATCAGTTGTCGGGCAGTCGTGATGCTTAACCACAACCGGGGTTAAGGTGGATTATCACCTACAGTGTAATCAGTTTGGGGATTCCACAGTTTGGGGATTCCACAGTTTGTTGAGGGCAGCAGTTGGCTCCCACCTCAGGGTATCAGTTATCGGGCAGTCATTGATGCTTAACCACAACCGAGTTAAGGTGGATTATCACTTACAGTGTAATCAGTTTGAGGATTCCGCAGACTGTTGAGGGTTCAGCCTCCAGATGAGTTGGTGAAACTCCTACGAAACAGGTTGTCACAGACCCTCGTTTGCTGTCCTCTTTTTCCTCTCTGCCTATGGCTTACCGGGCATACATCTAGCTGATCATTAATACATATCCAAAGTTTCCATGTTACTCTTGCAACAGTTCACGTGATTCGCCAAGTCCACTACCACGTGTACTATACAGCGAACTTGCTCTTCTGCAGTTTCGATACCTGATGGAGAAACGCTACATGTCGACCGAACAAACTTGACGAAGCAACCACCTAAGTACTCATCTACATACACACATTATTATACACGTACATAGCTCCCTTGTTATTTCTGCTACAATTAATTTGACTGGCCATGTGTACTACCACGTGTGCTATGGAGCAAACTTGCTCACCTGCAATTTAGAGACCTGATTGAGGAATGCTGCATGTCGATTGACTGAGCTTGCAAAAGTAGTAGGCGGAGACTCCTGGTCATCAGTTGGCTGTTCCTCAACCTGCACAAGCGCCTGCGATGCCAATTGCCGCTCGGCTAGCCCCATTCCTACTGCCATCAGTGGGGGCACCTGGGCTGAGTTGTGTGGTAAAGTTATCGCATCGTGCTCCACCAATGTTGCAAGGAGAAGATCCAATCCTTGCTTCAGCCAGAACGTATCTGCCAGAGCATCCCAATCCTGCAGCTTGATGATGTGCTCCAAACGCGAGAAGAGCGATTTGTTAATTGATTCATGATAGAGTGCGAAGAAGCGCTGCCTAGTCTGCGGTGATTTTGCCCGTAATCCTTGCATGTAGACACACTCAACTTTCTGAAACACTTCTTGCCGAACCTGCAACGGATACTTCTCTGCATCTGTGCATAACCTGCAGAACACCAAAGCCAAACCTCAGCAGTGCAGGTGCTCCTTCAACCATCTGGCAGAGCAGGTGCTCCTTCAACCATCTGGCAGAGCAGGTGCTCCAAGACACAAGCTAAGAAAACATAATGCCAAAGCCAAATCTGCTGCAATCACCTAGCAGAGCAGGTGCTCCGAGACACACGAGCTATGAAACAAACAAGAGGGCGCTCCCCAGCAGCAAGCTGGAAACATGGAAGGTCAATCACAGGAAACAGGGACTGGGTATTGATGTTAATCCGACAAAAATGTGCTCATAAAGTATCTTGGAGTAGGATCAATTGCCTAGAAAAAGGCAGAGTCATTCCATGTCCGTAATTGGGGAGAGAATTAGAGAGGAACGAGATCAGATTTTCAACACAGAAGGCCCACAAATAAATCATCACAATCCCAAGGTAGCAAGTTTTTATAAGCGCCCATGTGCCAATGGGGCAAAAGGCATAAAGCAGTATCTAAGAGTAGCATCAATTGCCTAGGAAAAGGCAGAGTCATTCCATGTTCGTAATTGGGGAGAGAATTAAACAGGAACGATATCAAATTTCCATCACAGAAGGCCCACAAATAAATCATCACAATTCCAAGGTAACTGGTTTTCTTATAAGCACCATGTGCCAATGGGGCAAAAGGCATAAAGTGTAAAATACATTGAAGTATCGAATTCCATGAAAATGATTGACGGGACATTGAAGGAGATGAAAGCATGAAAGGAAAATCCCAGAGAAACAGAGACTGACTGTTGCTGATAATGGATAGAGGCACCAATCTCCAAGGCAAATGTATACTCATGAAGTACTGTAATAACTCAGCTCGTATCATGCTATAATCGGGTGCCATAGGTCGTCACTTCGGTCTAAAGGGCCAAATCAAGGGCTAGCGGCCACACCCCACGACAAGAAACCGCCTGAACAAAGGCCTGCTGCTGTGGGTCCAGAAGTACGTCCTCAAAACTGGGCTTCGGAGGCCCTATGCACAACAGTTGACCAAGGAAAGTCAATGGTCAACAGAAGCTCGGAAATTCAGGCTCACGAGTCAAAGTCAACACAGACCCAGCCCAGGCCAAGTTGACCAATCAGACACACAAACTTGGCTGTTTTCAGGTATCTGTCAAGAATCCGGTCCAAGTGGGAATCTGCAACTGTATGAGATCCAGGCCAATGACTGTGTGTCAATCCGGGCCGTCGTATCCAAGAGACCAGAGGCTGGTCAACCTCGAGTCAACACTATTAAGTTGACCCAGCCCTGCTCACCAACATTCAGTCTTGCCCTTGCTGCTCGACGCTGGCTCGAGGCTGGCTCGACGCTTGGCTCAACGCTAGCTGGACGCTGGCTTGATATTGGACGATGATGTAAGACTGCTACTGCGCTGGCGCCATCTTCTGTCTTCGGCGCCAGCTCTCTTCTTGATTATTGCTGACGTGACTCTCACCACTGTCTATGAGATTGATGTGGTATTGGCGAGGAGGATCAGGGCTGTGAGATTGGTCGAGTGTAGAAAGGAGAGCTTACCTGTTCACGATCGTGCCGACATTGCGCTCTGTTGTTGTCTTCAGAAGGAGTCTGCGCCGTGTTTGCCACGTCGAGAAACGTTGGTCCAATGTTGAATCTCTGCCCCGTGAAGTGGATCGTTTGTTGCAGGTACATGGACTGAATTTGCAGGATAACCAGGTTATGTACATCTATTCACGTGAGTTGTCGGAGTCCATACGAGGACAGCCCGTGGCAGAGGCCAAGCCTGGTAAGTACAATTACAGGCAATTCAGGGATCTCGCCCTTCAACGAGAGCAGATGGCCGCACAGGTTATGGGAACCTACGCTAACGTTGTGAGGGGTGGACCGACAGGTGGGTATGGAAATGAGAAAAGAGTCCTGCAGCAGACGCGTCAGGACCACACTCTTGTTGTCTTCGACGATGAGATTGTCGAGAGATGCCTCTCGATGAGGCAGAGGGCGAAGCAAGTGGTGGCGACGAGTCTGGAAAGGGTGACGTCACCGCGATGGTGGCCAACAAGGGTGGCACCAATCGAAATGGTGGATATAGGAAGAGGAGGCCGCACTCCTTCCCCGAACATCCTGGCATTGCATCTGGCCAACCCTGAGAGAAGATGGGTCTAACCCAAACGGAATGGCAGGAGAGGATGCACAACAGGCAGTGCCTGAAGTGTGGCACTGAGGGACACATCATTGCATGGTGTCCTCTCATCCGGAACCCAAAAGGAAGCAGCCAGTGGGAGTAGCATCTACTTACTGAGTTGGAGGGTTTAGACAAAGATAAGGCGCCTACAACCCCTTTAAACCCCAAATCGCAAGGCAGAGGATGGCTCTTCTTCGACTTGTGTTTTGTCACGCTGGGTGATACCCTTGATGAACTTGGTCGTGAACTCATAGCCTTACAAAGTTCATGAGCTAAGAAAGCAAAGTCTAAAGGTGAGCTACTGATTGCTGACGTAGAGATTGTGCGCATCCGAGTAGGTGCATTCACGAAAAAGAAGTTGGCACAAGACGTAATAATCGTACTTGTTGAACGAGTCGATAAGAGTTCTTCGTCCTATCCTCCTATTGATGGATTACTCAATTTAAATAAGGACTTGCCTACTGATCGTGCTATAAAGCACACAATAAAAATCATTCCCGGAGGTAAGATTCCCAAGGGACCGGTCTACCAAATGTCCACGAGGGAATCGAAAGAACTAAAAAAAGCAACTACAATAACTTACAAAAAAAGGATAGATTCGACCAAGTTCCTCTCCCTACGGTGCCCCTGTCTTATTCGTACCTAAAAAGAAAGGAGAACTTAAACTCTGCATTGACTATCGAGGAACGAATCCCGTAAGTATTAAGAATGTGAAACCTCTTGCTCGTACCGACGATCTTCTCGATCATTTGCAAGGTTGCAAGTATTTCAATAAGAATGATCTGAAGTCTCGATACCACCAGATTGAGGTGGCACCCGAAGATCAACACAAGATGATGTTCAAAACAAGGTATGGGCACCACGAGTTTGTTGTTATGCCTTTTGGATTGACTAACGTTCCCGCAACCTTTCAGAAGTCAATAATGAATTGTTTAGACAATGTCTAGATCAATTCGCAGTGGTGTATCTCAACGATATCCTCAACTACAATAAGACATTGAAAAAACATAAGAAACACTTACGAATGGTTCAAGGAAACCTAAGAGAAGGTAACTACAAGCTAAATCCTAAGAAGTCCGAGTTTTCTAAATATGAGGTATTCTATCTTGGACATATAGTAAATGAAGAGGGGCAAAGGACCGAAGAAAAAAAGATCACCGCAATTGGAGATTGGCCCGAACCTAAAACTGTCACTGCGTTGCGATCTTTCCTAGGACTTGCTAGCTATTATAGGAAGTTCGTGAGGAACTTCTCCCTTATAGCTGCACCCATGAGAAAATTGTTGAAGAAGGAAAAACCTTGGTTATGGCACAAAGGTTGTGAGTCCACGTTTAAGAAGTTAAAACATAGGCTAACTCACTACCCTGTTTTAAAGATTGTTGATCCATCACTTCATTGTCACAACTGATGCTAGTCAGTTGGGGATTGGGGTTGTGCTACAACAGGTGGGAAAGGCTATAGACCGATCAAGCTCATGTCTAAGCGCCGTCCATCTAACAAGGTCGCTAACTCCACCTACGAAAGGGAATTGTATGCCTTAGTGGAAGCCCTGGACAATTGGAAACACTACTTGGTCGGACGACACTTCGCGGTTTTCTCAGATCACTCAACCCTGCAGTGGATTAAGGCTCACCCCGACTCTTCGACAAGTTAGGAAGTTGGTTTGCATTCATCCGACACATTTGATTTTGAATTGAAAACCATTGAAGGAAAATCTAATGTTGTTGCCGATGATTTGTCTAAGCGTTCTGATTTCTTTGGTACGATTGTTACCTATCCCGACATTGGGAATGAGTTGAAGGACCGAATTCGTAATGGGTATGTTGGAGATCCTCTACCATCAGAAGCTAGAACGAAACTCGTTATCCATAAGTTCTAGATGCGATGGGTTTCCGAGTACAGATTTCGAAAAACCATCATCTCTGATAGGGATGTACGGTTCACCGACCTACAATGGCAAAAGCTAATGGAAGCCTATGACACAAGACTGTTCATGTCGTCAGGTAGACACCCTGAAACAAATGGGCAAACTGAACAAATGAACAGACTGTGCCAACAACTTTTACGTATGTATGTAAGGCCAAATTAGATTGACTGGGATGAGAACTTACCAAAGATTGTGAGTGCTTGCAACAATAGTGTTCACACTGTTACTGGGAGAACACCTAACGCACTGCAAAAAGGATGAAAGTCGAGACGTCCCATTGACGCGTTAACTAGGAAACAAGTCCAAAGGCTACCCCCCAAAACCAAAGAATTTGCAATTCTGTACGAGCAAGACATAGCCAAAGTAAAGGAGAATATACAAAAATCCCAACTACAGATGATTGATCAAGCAAACAAACATCATCGACCTTCTCAGTTCAAGGAGACTTAGTCTGGGTAAAGTCTAAAGAATTCTCCCTCAAAGAAAAACTTTCTAAGAAATTACTACCTGTTTACTACAGACCTTGGGAAGTTCTCAAGATGATAGGGGATGCAGTCGGACCATCATATCACATTGATGTACCCCCTCACTTCAAAACCTACCCTGTCTTTCATGCTTCCAAACTGCTACCCTATGTCGAAGGCCAGGAGTTTCCTAACCGGCCATCCATGATTCCTCCCTCTTCTATGAATAGAGGTTATGAAGTTGAACGGATTCTAGAACACGGATACTTCTCTACAGATGGCAGAGGAAGACCTCAAAAGCAGTACAAGGTAAAGTTCAAGGCTCAAACTATCTCAGAATCAAGATGGTGCTCTAAGAAGGAACTTCTACCTACTGCACCTGATATTGTCGCTGCATATGAGCGAGAGTTAAACGAGAACCAAGCCTAAAGGTAAGTTTCTGCGAT